GGGGAGGGGAGAGGAGAGGAGAGGAGAGGAGAGGAGAGGAGAGGAGAGGAGAGGAGAGGAGAGGAGAGGAGAGGAGAGGAGAGGAGAGGAGAGGAGACCCCAAATTGAAAGGGACCCACGAGGATCAAACAGGCAGACAGGACTATGTAAAAACTAAACCATACATTTCAGATTTCCCACTTCAGCCTGCCTGCATGGACTGGTGGTCCAATAACACATGAATCTTCAAAAAACCTATCCACGAGACCCCAGGGATTTTTGCTGTGCTGGTTGGGGAAAAAAAAGGTCTGCTGTGCTCCAAATCACACACTGCGAAAGGCATCTCAGCCCCTTCAGTGGGTTTGGGACAGAAACTCCCCTTTTGAGCAATAGCCCTATTATCAAGAAACACTCCTGGGTATGGATAGGGGATGTCCAGCATGCCCAACATCACAGCACCAACAGCGAGCCAACGGTACGGTTAGCACTGATGTGCAGTCAAATTACAGCCTTTTCTTCAATTCACTGCGTTTGTTTCTGCCTATATTGTTATAATCCTAATTAGACTGAAAGCAAGTGGGAGTGGAATGAATTGTGGCACCTCTGCAACAGCAGCTGGGTGCATCCAGCTGCAGCCCAGCAGGGAAACCCACAGCATCTGGCCCCAGAGCCCAACCAAGCACCTTTCAACGTTGTGCAACGCCACGATGCGCCGTGCAATGCCAAGAAACGCTGTGCAACGGCATGTTGTGCTGTGCAGCGCCAAGAAATGTTGTGCAACGCCGTGCTGCCCTGCTCAGTGCCAGGAAATGCCACACCATGCCATGCTGCACCACGTTGCGCCGTGCAGTGCACGCCGTGCCATGCAGTGCTGTAGAGCGGCACAAAACCCTGCATCGCTCTCTAGAAACTTTCCCCTTCATGCTCACCAGCCACAGCCCCCAGGCACCCACGTGCTTTTCCACCCGCTCCAGGTCTTGCTCTGCCCTTGCTCCAGCAGCGCTGACCGGAGCACCCGGGCATCTGGCCCTGCCAATTGGTAGGAAATGAGCACTCTGCGCTTGCCAGCCCGCGTTAGCATATGAAAATTAACCCACCCTCTAATAAGCTAATTGTTTCCTTGCACAGGAAAAGCCGCTGCTGCCTTTAGGGTCCCTGTAATAACTTTATGGAGCGCACAGGGCAGGCAATTGCCTGCAGCAATGCAGTGCACAGCAGCCCCACTGTTGATGCCATCATGCCTTGCTCCCATCCCAACCCCAAAACCCCATCCCTTCAAGCAAATGCACAAACCAACAGGTTGAGGGAAAGTTCAACGGCCCCCGGAGCCAGTCTGACCCCTGCTCCCCATCCTGACCCCTTCATCCCCTCCCAACCCCTGCACCCCAACCCAACCCACCTTCCCACACGCAACCCGTGGCACAACCATCAGGTTTCTGCTGAAGCCCCTTGCAGCTCCCCTGAGCCCATCCCAAAGCATTTCCTGCAGTGCTGTGATTAACCACTAATCTCATTTTTTTCCTCCCATAAATCAGTTCCAGACCAAATATTTACCGAGAGCATCATTTCCTCACCAAGCAGAGCTGGTGACAGCTTTCATTATTAGGAAGGATGAGTGATTTTGAAAAGAGAGAGATTTTTTTCTCTCTCTCCCTGTTTCTTCAGAAAAAGAAAAAAAAAACCCACAATTAATAATAATAATAAACACGCACAAGGCCCTGACACTGCCACCCAGCTGGAGAGGGTCACCACAGCACTGGTTCCGTTCTACATCATAAAAGAGGGGATGGGAAGGAGAGGCTTGCTGCTCCTGAGGAGGGGAGTGGGATGCTGCTGCTGGAGCATCCTCCCCCCAGAAAGGTTCATGGGGACAGGTGTCCCCTGGGAAGCTGACAGCTTGACAGACAGACAGACAGACAGACTGACCTTTGCAGGCGTGCTGAGGATACGGAGCAGCTCCGTTCTGGCTGCTGCTTGTTTACCATAAACTCCACTCCCTGTGACAGCGCTCCGTGCAGCACAGGGCAAGGAGCTTAACAGCAATCCAACCCCAAAGCAGAAGGCACAGAGCCCCACGGCCAGCTGCATGGGGACACTGCCCCAGGGCCTCACTGGGGCTAACCAGGATCCTGTGAGAGTGGGGTGCAGGGTGCAGGCTGCCTTTGGGGTTGATGCATCTAGGGGTGTGCTAACCCAGCCCCACCTGCAACTCCACATAGGAGGAGGGGGAAGGTAACCCCTATAAGAACCCTATAAGGTGATGGTATGGAAAAGGCATGGCAGCACGACGGGCAGCGCTGCAGAGCTCTGCAGAGCCCACTGAGGGCTATTTAGATGGCAGTGATAGTGTCCAACATCACTGTGTGGGGAGCAGCGTCCTGCAGTCACAGCTGGGTGACCACTGAAATGAGCCTTGACCTGCGCTGTGGAGCTTGTGATAGCCCACTTATTACATATTTTTTTTCCTAAGCTTTCTGTAAAGCAAACAGAAGCACCAAGAGCCCCCCCCTCCAGGCTCAAAGCCCATGAAACTTGAGGAATAGCACCAGAGCGACAGCACTGCATCACACCCTGGGCTGCACTGCCATGGGGACAAGAGCCCATTCCTCGAGCCAGTCCTAAACTGGGAGGAAAACCCCAAATCCAAACACCACACCAATTTCCTTTGCCAGTTCCTAGGATCATGAAATCATTAATGCTGGAGAAGACCTCTAGGATCCCCAAGTCCACTCCCAGCCCACCCCCATGGTGCCCACTGACTCCCATGGTTCTGGAGCACCTCCAGACATGGTGACCCCACCACGTCCTGGGCAGTCTGTGCCAATGTATCACCTCCATTTCTGACAATAATTGCCTCTAAACCTTTGTTCCCCCCCTCACTGTACCCATTTATGCCACAGGCTGTATAGAGAATCACAGAATCACAGAATGGCCTGGGCTGCAAAGGAGCACAATGCTCATCCAGTTCCAACCCCCTGCTGAGTGCAGGTCACCAACCAGCAGCCCAGGCTGCCCAGAGCCACATCCAGCCTGGCTTTGAATGCCTGCAGGGCTGGGGCATCCACAGCCTCCTTGGGCATGCGACCCCCTCCAGCTCAAACTCTGACCATAGCAGCACCAGGGCCACCAGCCATCCCTACCACCACCACACAGAACAGCTCACATCCCCATCAGAGATGTCAGTTCATGCAAGGTTCTGCTAAACAGATGATCATTTTCTAAAAGGGAAACATAAAAAGAGCGCGGCAGTGCGAGAGGCTCCATGCAAATCCCTTCAGGTGTCAACCCACCCCAAGGGCCCATCCTCACCCGCTATGCAAAATCACTCAAAAGCTCCTCGGAAAGAAATAAAGGGTGAAATAGAGGGTTTCAGGCAATGGTGACAAACAGCAGCAGACGTGGGACAAAAGGCAGCGCTGCCAGGTGTGCATGGGGCTGGGGATGGGATCTGTGCATCCCAACAAAGGGAGCATCATCAGTGCACACCCGTGGGAAGGGAAATATTCAGCGTGTGATGTACAGCACTCACCACCCCTCCTGCCTCCTTGTAGATGGATAACTATGGCCGACCCAACAAGAGGCAGGAGTGGGGCTGCTCACCCCACGGCTCCCCGTGCCCCGCTGCCAAATAAAGCCTGCATGGATAATAGGCGGATAAACAAGCAGGCTGAGTACCTGCTCTGCAGGCATGCGTTGCCATCCTGCTGCCGTCATTATCTTAATAGAAAGATTAAAAAGAGGCAATTTGCAGAAGCAGGTGATTTTGCCCCTGCACCTGCCTGCACCGCGCTGGGTGTTATTCACCGCTCCGCTCCTCTCCAGCACACTCCAATTATCGACGCCGGCGCTGCTTTTAAAGGAAGGGAAGCAGGGTGAAACGTTACAAAAAATAGAAATCATCAGCATTTCGGTCAGCTCTCTGCAAAGGATTAAAGACTGCGGCCGTCTGGGTTGCGGCGGTCGGAATTCAGCCCTGAAGATTGATGGCCTTTTGACTGCCTTAACTGCGCGATATTCTGAATTAGATCAGTGCAAGGAGCTCTGCATGGCACACGGCCACCTCCTGCCCAGCAGAACGGGTGGGGAATGGCTGTAAGGAGGGGGAAAGCCCACAGCTTTGAGCTTATGGTAAATATTTCAGGAGGAAGAGCCCCTTCTGCTCTGTTCCTGAAGGCTCGCGCAAAGCCTGAATACCCAAAACTGAGGCGTGGGGCTGAGCGCAGGGACAGGCAGCGTGCTGCTGAGCTGAAAGGCTCCTTCTCACACAGCCAGCACCGAGCGACGCTACCTTGATATCTCAAAAATCAAACCCAGCCTAGCAGATGTTACATTTATCCTCATTACAGCAAGAGGCAACCGCAGCCCCCTGCCCTGGAAAGCGGGTTCCCATATCAAAGCCAGCGGTGAAATATTGATCCAAGTGCCCATCCCCGC